TACTGGCTTTCATTCCCTATTTGCCAGTTGGAGCCCTGAAGTGTCTCCTTGAAACTCCACATTTGGAAACCATTAGGATGATGTCAAAAGCCAAGCATTGTAAGCAGATAGATAAAATGTTAATCTTGGTTCATACTTTCCAGCTAAAATGGGCTTGTTTCCCCACCTATGAAAATGAAGTCAGAAATATCTACTCTGGAAGACTGTTGTGAATATTAATGAAAACATACGCCAAGCATAATGGGCCCTCCAATAAATGGAAACATTTTTTTCTATATGAATAATTACTTTTGCCACTCCTGGAGAAACCAGGAGAAATTCAGCACCAGGTCTGAATGAAACGGAATTAATGCGCTGGTTATAGCCAGAATTCACATAGGAAAAACTAGAGCAGGAGCCCTGGGTACCAGGATGGACCTGAGCCTTCCCCACTGCTAAACAGCAGCTACTAACACTGTCTGATTCACTAAGGTCGAGTGCCCTGGGCTGCCTCTTCGGACAGATTGTCAAATTTACTCTGCAGAAGAGTTATCCACATGGACCAAGAATAGAAAATTAAGATGTTTTGCCAGCCAGCAGTTACAGTAAGCCCAAAGGATGCCCCAAACCATACTAGATGTTTATTTAGTGTGGTGCAGGCTCATGAAAACCTCTCTAGTGCCGACCATAAAAAAGTGATCTATTTAAAGGGGCTTTAAGCCAATCCAGGAAGCCAAGGCAATGACAGACCAATTGGTCTATGTATCAGTTATAAGGGCCTCACTACCTCAGATCCATATACAATTGGAATATGACTTGAAAATATTTTCCTAGAAAATGGAGAGAGCTAATTTTTCTCTTCCTAATACACTATGGATCTCACATCTAGTTTCTCCTGCCTCTTTCCAAGAAATGGAGACCACGTCCAGAATAGAGCATTTTAAGTGGTTGCAACATAATGTTTAGATTATTAATATTGATCAAATCAAGAGCAAAGAGTGGGAAGTTCAGAATAACTTGTTTTGTAAAAATGCCCAGGGATGGGTTATGGAGAAAGCAAATATTATAGCCTTCTAATGAATGAGTCCATCATTCTACAGTGAGAAGTCTTAGGGATATGACAAAGAAAGAAAATAACAACATAGGTGTTTTGGTTACCTCTAGTACCACTCTAACAGGATTACCAGGAACGGGATGATGGCTTTAACAAATAGGAGTTTATTCTCTTACAATTTTAGAGGCTAGGAGCCCAAGTTCGAAAAGCCAAGCTCTAGGGGTTGGGTGAAAGCCCCTTAACCTTGGGCTTCAGCTCTCCCTCTTGCTACCAGCCCACTGAAACAAGAGGTCTCTCTACTCAGGCAGCTGCTGGCTGCTGAGGCTAATATGCCCAAGGTCGACAAATAAAATGGCACAGTCCCAATATTACCAAAGCACTTGGCAGGCCATTGATTCAAGTCCAGAATAAGTCCCAAGATCAGCAGGGCAACACAACAAGCTGCTGAACAACAACTTGGCTACATGCAGGTTCAAGGGTGCCATAAGCCAGAGACCTTCCTCAAAGTGTCTTCTTATGTACTGGGAGCAGACCATATCCCTAAAGCAGCTACTCAGCTGCTCACAGTAGATCCCACCATGGAGTTGATTACCAGTCTCACACGGGGAATATCTACATCCAGCTGCCCAGCCACTCAAACTAGGGCCAGCCAGGTTGACACATAACCTAACTACCACAATAGGGAAAGCTTTGCTAAAGAAAGTTCCACTCATTAAAATTTCATTCATCATAGAGCCAATCTCTTCTCTTCTATTTCTCTCATGGCACTTTCTCCACAGAATCAGCCCACATCCAATTCTCAGTTGCTGCCTAATGCCCAAAGTTGTAGGTATCCCTCGAAGGATGATATGTAAATAAAGAGGGTTATGTAGGTGAGATATTTTTAAAGTAGTAAGCGTGGAAGCAGTATGTGTTGTTTCACAAACTAATGATGTAAATATAGTCTCTTTCCATTATGATTCTAATGAAATGCCTTCACATGCCATATTAGGAGATGATCCAACAGCTCCCCCTTGGGGCCTGTGATGGTTATGTTTGTATGTTAACTTGGCTAGGCCTGGTTGAGTGGCTGGGCAGCTGGACTCCATGGTGGAATCTATTGGGAGCAGCTGAGTAGCTGCCTTTCGGTGTGGTCTGCTTCCTGTATATAAGGAGAAGTTTTAATAATGGTCTCTAGTCTATGGCACGCTTGGATCACACATGTAGCTATGTCGTTGTTCAGCAGCCTGCCATGCTCTGCCGACCTTGGGACATACAATGGACTTAAGTTAATGGCCTGCTGCGTGGTTTAGTAACAGCGGGAGTGTGCCGTTTTACTTGTCAACCTTGGGGCTTCTCAGCCTCAGCAGCCTGCAGCTGTCTGAGTGAAGAAATGCCTCTAGCTCCAGTGGGCCGGGAGCAGGAAGCAGAGCTGGACCTCAAGACTGAGGGGCTTTCACCCAGCCCCTAGAGCCTGGCACTTTTAACTTGGACTTAAAGCCTCCACATTGTAAGAATAAAGTCCTGTTTGTTAAGGTCATCCCATTTGTGGTATTTTCTTGTCAGAGCGGTACTAGGTAACCAGAACAGGGCCCTTCCCTTCCCAGGAACTTCCCCTCACACCATGCACAAAGCTGTCATGACCTTGGCAACACCCATCTTTACTGAGTCACAGCTCCTCCTCCACAAAGTGAGCAATCAATGTAGATGATCTCTAATAGTGCCTTCCAGCTCTAAAATTCTGTCTATATGATATCCAAAATTTTATATATGGGTAAATTTAAAATTCAAAATAATCAGCTGGTCTGGAATTATTACTGCTGAGGTCTTGAAGGGCCAAGTTGATAGTTGCTGAATTAATTAATGAATTAATTAATGGATTAATGGCATTTGTTGAATAAATGTATGTCATCTTAATACCCAAGAAGGTATACCTAGCAAACAAAACCTGAACGGCATTATGAAGGTCTCTACATCTCTGTAGACTGGTCATGAATAAATAACACGGGAATAGATTCTTCAAATATACATGATTCAAGGCCCCCAAATTTGGATAAAATCCATTTCTGTAATAGTGACTTTATCTTCGAAGGAGGAGACGTATACTGTGCACTTCAACTGACACACAGCCTATGCTTCCAGGTGGAAGGAAATTACAATAAAACAGAAACATTTGTTTTCACAGGGAAACTCTTAGTTATCATAAACGTTCTGTGACTCTTCAGAGGGGCAGAATGATGCAGCCAGTTAGCTTTCTCCGTTAATATATTGCTTCCTGCAGAGAGAGGGAAATGGAGCCTCTGACTGTTCCCTCCTGGCTTCTGTTTTCAAGACTATGGTCCTGAGAGTAAAGTTGCTGACAGCTGTTATTTACTAAACCTGGCCCTGGACGTGAAATCACCTGGATTGTCAGGGTAGATTTGAGTTATTTTCTAAACAGTGACAAGGATCCCTTAACAAGGCCAGCTTCAGGAACTGGGAGGGAAGGGAAGCTCCTTCATATCATTGAGGCCTGGTGGTCTGTAAAGGACCTTCAAGTTACAAAATAAGACAAACTTCACATAAAGGCTGTTAGCAGGTCTTCCTTGGTGGAAGAACAAAAATATGTTTTCAAGGACCCACTCTTGCTCAAACTCTGGTATGGTCTGACAGATCTCCCTCACTGTCGTTCCTTCCACCACAAGGAGGATGGCAACAGTGATTTCATAGCTCTTTATTGGAATACTCACCCCAAAAGATGGGTGATTATCCCTAGACACACACACAGTTTCCATGGTCAAATAAGTACGGCAAAGCAACAGACTATTTTCTCTGCTTCAAGATTCACAATATGAATTAAACCAGAAAAATCAAACCCACTGCTATCAAGTTGATTCCGACTCATAGCAACCCCCATTAGGTTTCCAAGGTGGTAAATCTTTACAGAAGTAGATTACCCAGTCTTGCTTCTGCAGAGTGGCTGGTGGGTTTGAACCACCAACCTTCTGGTTAGCAGTCAGATGCCTTAGGCACTGTGCTACCAGAACTCCTAGGTACAATAAGCATTAGCCTAGAAATTTTAAGTGAAAATAGAAGGGGCTTGGGTAGAGGGAGAGAAAGGAAAAAGAGAGCAAGGGAGACAAAACCTGTTATGTTTATTTCACCCAGCATTTCTTTAACCTTAGTTAGCCACTGAACATTTTTTAGTATAAAACTTACTAAATCCCGCTGAATTAAAATTCTACAAATGTTCCCACTTAGGAAATACTGGAGCTGATGATCACCGATTCCTAATTCTAAAAAGTCTAAGTTCTATTTACCATCCTTTTAAAGCACAATTCTCATCATTCTCCACCCCCGCTTAAAAACTCTCCACTGTTCCCACCTGCCTGTAATGTCCAAATTCCTTAGCATGGTATTCGAGGCCCTCCAGAATCTAGCTTTAGTTTCCTTTCTCCCCACTCATGAGTTTCTGCTGCCTCCAAACTGGACTTGCTCTGCTCTTTCCTGCCGACCATAAACATGATCTATTTAAAAGGTGTACCTTTCCCACCTCTGTGCCTCTGTTCATAGTGCTGTCTCCATTGAGAATGGCTTTGCTACTCTTTGCACAAATGCACCAAACCAAACCAAACCCATTGTCATCAAGTTGAATTCCAACTCGTAGTGACCCTATGGGACAGAGTTTGCATGTAATATTTAGAACTAAATAGGTTATAACCTCTGTCTATAATCTCATTTTTGAGAAACAGAAAGCTATGGCTCAGACAATAGACAGACATATAGAGTGACATCAACCAATGGAGACATTTGTCAATAGAGTTTGTCAATAGAGGCGGTTTTTTTGGTTGAGTTTGTCAATCAGTTTGTCAATAGAGTGACATCACTCCTGGGCAACCCACTCCAAAATGGAGTGGTGGCAAATGACTGAATCTCTTGCCTTAAACTTCTGCCAGTTGCACTGCTTACACGTCCAAGCATTTATTAAAATCTTTCCCATCTCTCACAGCTGATCAAGAAGATCTCTGCAAATTCCTAGCCTGTGGACAATTTGCCCAGTGTGTACTGAATGAGTTGACTGAGGACGCAGAGTGTCGCTGCAGACCAGGATATGAGAGGCAGGAGGGCCTGGACCACCTGGACCCAGGCCTCTGCAGCCCCAAAGAAGAATGTGAGGTCCTTCAGGGAAAGGAAGCCACTTGCAGGTAGGTCAAGCACACTTACTTTACAGACCAAAGAATTCATTATTCTAAGAAATCTATTATTAGTCCTTTAAACCCGTGATTCTCAAACTTCAGTGAGCATTAGAATAATCCAGAGGAGGGCTTGTTAAAACACGAATTGCTGAGCCCAGCTGTGCTATTTCTGATGCAGTATGTCTAGGGTAGGGGGCAGGTAAGGTTGAGGCTGCTAGTCCAAAGACTAATGCTCTAAGCCTTATGCAGTATTTTCTTAAGACCAAGAGGGTTGAAAGGAAATTGTGTCAGCTTTAGGACAGTATATTACATAGATAATCTACTTCCGTAGTGATAACTGCCTCGGAAACCCAAGGAGGGGTCGCTATGAGTCAGGTCCAACTCAACGGCAAATAACAACAACCACCACCTTAATTAGGGCTCTATGTCAGAACTGAGTTTTGAAGGAGTCATAAGTCAGGGACTACCTGTATATATTTTATATTGTTTTTTTCCCTTTTTGCAAACAGTAGTGTTCATCAATTCATCATAAGAAATCTGAAAATTATAGCAAAGTATCATTTGTAATTCAGCACATTAATCACTATTTTTTTTGGTTTACATGTCTTTATAGAGTTTGCTTATATAGAATTTCCTAAAGCAAAATGGGACCAGATTAGTTTATTGTTTT